CCATTATCAAAAGAAATTTGTGCCTACAGTTTGCACAAGTTTCTTAACAGCAAGGGAATGGGACAGTCAGGTATGTAGAGAAAAGAATGTGTTAATGACTTTGCTTATATGGAGCAGGTTAGAGGCTGGAGGAAGGGAGGGTTCTCCCTCTTACCTGAGACTCCCACGACTGACACAGTTTGTTACATCAGGGCTGTCTTTTTTCTGGGTCAGGACAGAGTGGGTTGCTCCAGTAACCAGTAGAAACCATACAGGCTCCCCCCTCACCTTCATTATAACCAGAGGCTCAGTTGGGGGACTCACCTTCGGTCCTCCTCAGTCTGAGTCTTCCCCCTTCAGCATCATGGGGCATGGGGCAGCCCCAAGTTCTTTCTTACCTCTGGTTAGGAATTTAGGACGCTTTGTTTTCCGGTGTCCTCTCTGCTTGTACCAGGCACACTGGTCTCGGCTAAATGGGGGTTGAGGCCTCTCACCTCCCTCTCTCCTCAGGGCCTCTCCTCTTCTAGGGCTGCTGAGAGATGGGACATTTCCCTGCAAAACGGCAGCCAGGAATGCAGCCTGTCTCTTCTGATTGGTGATTTTTCTCTTTTCCTGTTCCCAGTCCCAATTGCAATATTCTTGGTAGGCAAGCTCAACAAACCATGAGAGCCCCAACTCCATGCCTCCCTCAAGTTTTTGGAGTTTTCTCCATATGTCTGGGGCACTCTGCCCGATAAAAATTATATTCACCATGTGAGCATTTTTGGGACTCAGGGTCTGTGTATTTAAACTGTCTAAAAGCCTCATAAATTCTTTTCAGAAACTTAGAGGGACTTTCAATTGGTTCTTGTTTGATCCCATATATTTTGCTAAGGTTTTTTTTTTGTTTAGGCACTCCTTTCTTCAACCCTTCTAAAAGGCAGTCCCTGTTATAAACAAGGTGAGTCTGTGCCTTGGCCATATTCTGATCCCAGCCAGGGTCCCCCACAAGGAAAGTCTCTGTCCCCAGATGATTTATTGCCTGCACTTCATGGTGTCTATTGGGCTTGGCCCTAACCTTTTCCAGGACCATGTGCCTTTCTTCTGGGGTGAGGAGCACATCTAGCAGCGCCTGACAATCTTCCCATTTAGGGTTATGAGTGTGGAAGATGGAGGCAAAAATATCCTGCATTCTCTTAAGTTCTTTTCAATACCCAGGGCAATGGTTTTTCTAGTTATAAAGATCACTTGTTGAGAAAGGTTGGTGGACTCAGACCATGCCAGCATCTCCTGTGGGGACTTGTCGGAGGGGGTGCATGCCCCTGGGCTTGGCTGTGCTATGGCTTTCCTGAGAATCGGTTACCCTCATGTTACTTTCATTCTCTGTAGTCACCGAATTGGAGTGTCCAAATGCCGTTCTGCCTGCGTATGGGGCGGTGAGCCTGACACTGAGGCGGAAGGGCTTGGGAGGGGTGGATATCGGGACTGAGAGGGTTTAGCGGTGGGAATCGTTTCTTGTGCAGCAGCTTCTCCCAGGTTGGAAGCATAAGGGGGTGGTGATACCAGTGCCTACATGGCAGGCAAGGGCAACAAGGATTCTTCTTTGGGGTCAGGGGAGGACTGGCAGTTGTGATCCACCAGCCATTTCCTGAACTAGAATTTTACATTTCTTCTGTAATCTCGTGTCCCGTTATAGAGTCATGAAAGCTTCCACATAATACGTTTCATCCCACTTTTCCTTACAAGTACAGAAAAGTTCTAACTGAAGGATGGTATTATAATTTAGGGACCCATTCTCTGGCCATTCCTCTCCATCTGCCAATTTATATTGTGACCAGGCAGTGTTGCAGAGGAAAGTCATTTTCTTCTTTTTCATGGGGCTTGGCCCAAAATATTTCCAATTCGTAAGGATGCATCCTAAGGGACTGCAGTCAGGGATCCCTTGAATGTTTCCCATTCTCTGGACGTACACACACACGCCTTACATGCTCACACAACCTAATTCGATGCACCAATCTAATAACAGATACCTAGAGCGTTTTATATCCTCAACAGTCAGTACTTTCCACTTCTTGGGACTCTTCTAAGGCTTTACCTAGGAATTACCCTGTTATTTACCAAATAACCCCAGATACCTAGAGCCTTTAATGCCCTCATTGGTCAGTTTCTCTTGCTTTTTGGGACTTTTCTAAGGCCTTACCTAGGAATTACCCTGCTACTTACAAATAACCCAGGCGCGTTTCACGTCTCCCGTGGAGTCACCATTGGGTCCAAGGTGGATGAGCTTCCAGGGCTACTTCATGGTCTCTGGGAGAAATCTCCTGGTGGTGCCAGACGCTGGGGCCGGTCTGTTGTCTGATCTGCCTCCAGAACCGAGTGGATGACTCCTGACTGGAAACCCCAGGTTCTGCTCAGTGCGACTCATCTCAGCCAATAAACTAGAGACCGAGGTGAGAGAGTAGAAAGGTGCTTTTATTTCACTGCACAAGGAAAGAAAACAGTCGAGGCTGCCGCCGCCAAGACTACTCAGAGAGGGCAAGGGGAAAGGTTAAAAGTTAAGGGGTTTACAAGTAGGAAGTTCATACAGGTTATATCAGCAACATTCTTAATCATACTACACAGGTGCAGTGCAGTTTATATATAACTTCATGCATCGTATGTTCAGAAAATGGCAGTTAAACTTCACCCAGAGGCAGGGAGGTTACTATGCGTCTTAGTTATCTAGTGCTGCTTTAACAGAAACACCACAAGTGGATGGCTTTAACAAAGAGAAATTTATTTCTTCACAGTAAAGTAGGCTAAAAGTCCAAATTCAGGGCCTCAGCTCCAGGGGAAGGCTTTCTCTGTTGGCCTTCTCATCAGTCTTCCCTTGGACCAGGCGCTTCTCTGTGTGGGAACCTCAGGTCCAAAGAATGTGCTCTTCTCCTGGCGCTGCTTTCTTGGTGGTATGAGGTCCCCAGTCTCTGCCTGTTTCCCTTTCCTTTTGTCTCTTGTAAGATAAAAGGTGGTACAGGCCACACCCCAGGGAAACACTCTTTACATTGGATCAGGGATGTACCCTTAGGAAGGGTGTTACAATCTTACTGTAATCCTCTTTAACATAAAATTACAATCACAAAATGGAGGACAACCACACAATACTGGGAATCATGGCCCAGCCAAATTGATACACACATTTTTTGGGGGACATAATTCAATCCATGACACTATGCATGAGGTATTTAATGAGTTAAAAGGTTATCCTGAATGTCAACATGGCACCTAAACCAGTTTCCACCAATTTCCTCTAGTTTGGGGGCAGCAGTTAAGGAGAGGGGAACCGGGATTTTAATGTAAAGTTATGGGGCATGCAAAGCAAAGGAACCAGGATTCTAATGTAAAGCTATGGGGCGTGCCAAGCAAGCTGCTTGAGGCAGTGGAATTTTCCACAGCCTGGGGACCTATGTCTTAGTGTGGTGATGTGCAGAGGGGGTTGATGATTTCACAAGGTTTCTGTAAGTCTGCTTTTGTAACTTTGGGCTATGTCTAGTTTTTTTAAATGTTTTCAAGTGAAGTTTTTTTTTTCTTTCAATTTGTTGCAATTCAATTCCAAAGGCCATTTCATTGTACATACCAGTTTTACTGCAATGAAGATAAGGAGTACCTTTTTTCAATACTCTTGTCTAAACTTTAGCAGTGATTGTTTAGAACAGGAAAATTGTTTTTTTAAGTACTAGCAGAGGGAATAAAATGAAGTACAGGTGGTCTCTGACTTAAGATGGGGTTCCATTCCGACAACTCCATCATAAGTTGGTTCTGACGTAAGTCAAATACCTCATTTTTTTTCTCGTTATTATTGTCTTTTGTTATCAGTATCTTTATAAATCTGATCTTTATTTGTCTTTGGAAGTTGGAAACATTACATATAAACTTACAGATATGTTTTAATACATATCTAAAAAAATACAAAAATCATAAAAATTTACTCTGAAGATGAAGAAGAGTTGAATGATGATGGCATTTTGTCAGTTGCAGTAATAACTCCACTTGTAGAGGGTTCTGGATCCTCTAGATTATCCCTGGGAATGGGGATGGCGTTTCTACTCAGACAATTAGTGAGAGTTGTCTGTATGGCCCTTTTCTTTTTGATTCATATGTTTTGCGGTAACATCTAACTGCTTACTGGATTTGCCTGTTGACTTAAGCAAAGCAATCAGTGTTTAGGTCCATGTTTTCAAGCAACTGAAGCCCGTGATATAGTTTAGAAAACTAAATCTGTATCTCAGAGTTTTGAAAAGTAAATCATAAAATTGAACATCTGCGAGTGTACATCTGAGAATGGTGACATCAGCAAATTACGCGCTGCAACATTGTATGCAGTACATGTTACTAATGATAAGATACGTGAGGGAAAATGGACGGTTATACGTGTGGTTTGTTGTAACTCGAATATATCATAAATCGGGGACTGTCTGTATCTTCAACATATCTTTTGTTTTATGGCTATAAATGTATCTTAGGCTTTAAAACTTCACAAGGTGCTTGATACTTTTTAACAGCAGCACCTTCTATGCCATTGCTTAGATTTTGTAGACTCTAAGTACAGAGTGTTGTGAAGGAGATTATAGGTAATTACTCCTTGATCAGGTATTAAACAGTATCATGATTGTTCACTTCCTCTAAGAAAGATTTTGTAGGCACTTAAGATATCATCACCATCCTTTTTTATTCTGAGTAGTCTACTGATTTCTGGTACCATGTTGCCTATTAAAAGAGGGCAAATTGACTTAGAATTAATTTTATTAAACTGAAATAAATGTAGCCTTAATTTTATTTACCTGTCCTTTCTCAAAAACTCAAAGCTCCCTTTTTTAGAAAAGTAGCTTGGCATAGAAGAAACAATACAGGACTGGGAGTGAGTATACTTCCTCTTTTTAGTCCTAAGTTTGTCATTAAATATGAGTTTGAGTTGGAAAGCTGTTTCACCATTTCTGACTTAAATTTTCTCATATGAGGTTTTCTTCTTACTCTAAAATGCTACTCAATTTTTTTTTCCCCTATAGGACAGTCTTGGGGGTAACAGCAAAACAGCTATGGTAGCAACTGTGAGTCCAGCAGCTGATAACTATGATGAAACTCTTTCAACTCTGCGGTATGCTGATAGAGCCAAGAACATTGTTAACCATGCTGTGGTGAATGAGGATCCTAATGCACGCATTATCCGGGATCTTCGGGAAGAAGTAGAAAAACTCCGAGAACAACTAACCAAAGCAGAGGTATAAGACACAGCTGAGCAATGAATTATGATTCTGGGAAAATCTAGTAAAGCTAGAACTTTTCCTTAGCTTTAAATGATAATGAGTATTCCACTTAGACTTTGTGAATTTCCCATAATAAGAAGTTTGAGGGTGAGTAAAGGAAGATAGATGGGTTGTCATATTTGAAATTTAGAGAGTTTTTACAGGTGTTAAAAGATTGAATAAGAGGAAAGAATAAAGGGAATAGAGACAAAGTTTTTGTCCATAGTATAGGCATCAGGCAAGAGAGAAGAGGTGTAATAAATAAGGGACAGGAGAGAAAAGCTTGAAACAAAGTGTATATAATTTAATTTTAGTACAGAAAACAGTGGAGAGTGGACATGGAATAATTGGCACAGTAATCAAACAGATTTTTGTTTTATTTCTGATTTCTTAATCTGTAGAAGTTAGAAAGGAAAACTTAAGGAGGTCTTACAAACCTTATTATTTCAGGTTTTTCATGTGTATTACCGTTTTGAAAAATATATATATAGTAGAAGTGCTGTCTATTCACATGTAATCTATTCTATAATGTGTGGTGTTTATGTTCTGTTACTGAGTTTGAAAACCTACACAGTTCTAACTTACAAGCAAGTGCTCATCCTCTTGCCAAAAGTGGAATAAAATACCAGATTCAGGATTCCTGCTTTAATTAGTATTTCTACTCCCACAATTACCCAGAACTATGGAACTCATTTCTGGACTGGGACCGTAGCCTTTTCTTTCTCATAATCCTTCTGGTAGTAAGTCATCCTCAATATATGGTCAAGACAATTACAGAGAAGACAATCAAGACAGTTACCTTGATTATGTTACCAAGGCTTTTTTGCTAAAGATGAAAGAATTTATGAATGTATAGATCACTCAGATGTCACTTTGAGGACTCAAGTGCTCCTGACCCAAGCCATGGTATTTTCAGTCACCTCATATGCATGCAAAAGCTGGACAGTGAATAAGGAAGACCGAAGAAGAATTGATGCCTTTAAATTATGGTGTTGGTGAAGAATATTAAATATACCATGAACTGCCAGAAGAGTGAAGAAGTACAGCCAGAATGCTCCTTAGAAGTGAGGATGGCAAGACTTTTGTCTTAAGTACTTCGAACATGTTATCAGGAGGGACCAGTCCCTGGAGAAGGACATCATCCTTGGTAAAGTAGAGGGTCAATGAAAAACAGGAAGACCCTTATCTTAGTCATCTAGTGCTGCTATACAGAAATATCACAAGTGGATGGCTTTAACAAAGAGTTTATTCTCTCACAGTCTAGTATGCTATAAGTCCAAAATTCAAGGCATCAGCGCCAGGTGAAGGCTTTTCTCTCTGTCAGCTCTGGAGGACCGTCTTTGTCATCAGTCTTTCCTTGGTCTGGAAGCATCTTAGTGCAGGAACCTCAGGTCCAAAGGACACGCTCTGCTCCAGGCACTGCTTTCTTGGTGGTATGAGGTCCCCAACTCTCTGCTTGATTCCCTTTCCTTTTATCTGTTGTAAGATAAAAGGTGGTATAGGCCACACCCCAGGGAAACGCCCTTTACATTGGATCAGGGATGTGACCTTAGTAAGGGTGTTGCAATCCCACCCTAATCCTCTTTACCATAAAATTACAATCACAAAATGGAGGACAACCACACAATACTGGGAATCATGGCCCAGCCAAATTGATACACACATTTTTTGGGGGACATAGGTCAATCCACAACAACCCTCGAAGAGATGGATTGACACAGTGGCTGCAACAATGGGCTCAAACATAGCAACGATTGTGAGGATGGACAGGACCAGGCAGTGTTTTGTTCTGTTGTACATTGGGTCACTATGAGTCGGAGCCCACTCAATAGCACCTACCAACAAAAACGTAGATCACTTACTCAATAAACAGATAAACTTATAAAACACTTTCTGTGTGCCAGACACTTGGCTACGTACAGTTCAGTGATTACAAGGATTAGCCTCAAACAGTTACAGTTTCGAAGAAATGTCTTAAACATAAAACAAAAGTTCATTATAGAAATATTCAACCGTATGCAAAAAAGTAGAGAAAATAATGTGGTAAACATTCGTGAAGATCTCAATACTCAGGCTTCAGCAGTTATCACCATTCAGTGAACTCTTGTGTCATCTGTACCTCTCTACTCCATTTCCATGAAATCTCTTACCCCACCCCCGGGTTATTTTCAAGAAAATATCAAATATCAGACATCTCCAGGTGCCTTATTTTTGAATATCATTTTTCCTGGTCACCCAAGTGTAGTCGACAGCCAGACCTTTTTGGTTATTTGAGAAGTCTGTATTTCCATAGCATAATGGATAAGAGCATAGGCTTTCATAGTTGTTTTTCTTGTTAGTTGTCGAGTCAGCTCTGACTCATGGTAACCTTATGTATACAGAATGAAATGTTGTCTGGTCCTGCACCACCTTCATGACCAGAGACCCAGGTTTAAATTCCAGCTCTACTTCTTAATGTAGGCAGGTTTCTTATCTTCAGAAACCTCATCTGAGAATAATAATTGTAGTCTTTTACCCCGTTGCTGTTGAGTTGGTTCTGACTCATAGCGATGCTATATGACATAATATGTGCCTAAACCAAAACCACCAAACCTGTTGCGATTGAGTCAACCTGTAGTGACGCTATAGGACAGAGTAGAACTGCTCCATAGGGTTTCCAAGGCTGTAATCTTTACAGAAGCAGATTGCCACATCTTTTTCCCATGGGGTGGCTGGTGGATTCAAACCACCAACCTTTTGGTTAGCAGCTGAGCACTTAACCACTGTGCCTCCAACCACAACCAAACTCATTGCCATCAAGCCAATTCTGACTCATAGTGACCCTATATGACAGGGTAGAACTGCCCTGTAGTATTTACAAGGCTGTAAATCTTTACGGAAGCAGACTGCCACATCTTTCTCCCGTGAAGCAGCTGGTGGTTTAAAATCGCCGACCTTTCGGTTAATAGCTGAGTACTTAACCACTGTGCCACCAGGGCTCCTCAGTGTGCCACCAGGGCTTCTTAAATCAAATGCTTGATAAACATTATGTTCTAGTTGTTACATTTTAATTATTTTTTTCTTTTGTCTCACCAGTGGCCACAGAAATCACTGTGGTGTTTAAGTCTAATAATTTTTTTAATCCTTATGATTGACTATATTCTTTTTTCTTTTTGAACTGTTTTTTATTATGATATTTGTTTGTTTGCTGAGAAGCAATTTTTAAAACTTAGATGGATGAAAAAAGCCTAAAGAAGGATTTGTGTCCTTCTTATTTCTAAATCACATTGGTCCTTACTTATGTCTAACTTAATTATATATGATAATTTCAAACGTTGGAAATAAGTATGTTTATCTTTATAGATTTTTTCTATGTTTATAATGAAATAGGATATTTATGTATGTTTTATAAGTTGTTGTTTTTCATAAACAACTTTCCATGCCCCTAAATCAACATCTGCATAGCTTTTTACACAGTTATACAGTGCTTCATTTTATGGCTATACATCAGTAATTTATAAATTTTCTATCATTAGATGTTTAGGTTGCTATTTTTTTTTTACTGTTGTAAACAAAAATTCTTATATCTACAATTTTTGAAGCAAAGTTTGTTTTTTGTTCTTTTTTTTTTTAATTGTACTTTAAGTGAAGGTTTACAAAACAAATAGTTTCTCATTAAACAGTCAGTACACATATTGTTTTATGACATTGGTTAATAGCCCCACGACATGTCAATCCTCTCCCTTCTTGACCTTTTTTTTTCTGGTGAAAATATACATAGCCAAACACACCATTTCAAAAATTTCTACATGTACAATTCAGTGACATCGATTACGTTCTTCCAGTTGTGCTGCTATTCTCACTTTAGATGAAGGTTTACAGAACAAAATAGTTTCTCGTTAAACAGTTAGTACACATGTTACCCTATGACAATGGTTAAGAACCCCACTACATGTCAACACTGTCCTTACTCAACCGTGGGTTCCCTATCACCAGCTTTCCTGTCCCCTTCTGCCTTCTAGTCCTTGTCCCTGGACTGCTGTGCCTCATTAGTCCCATTTTGTTTTATGGGACTGTCCAGTCCCTGGCTGAATGGTGAACCTTGGACGTGACTTCACCACTGAGCTAAAAGGGTGTCTGGGGGCCATGCTCTTGGGGTTTCTCCAGTCTCTTTTGGGCCAGTAAATCTGGTCTTTTTTGTGTGTGTTAGTATTTTGTTCTACATCCTTCTCCAGCTCTGTCCAGAACCCTCTGTTGTGATTGTGGTCAGAGCAGTGTGTGGTGGTAGCTGGGCACCATCTAGATGTACTGGACTCAATGTGGAGGAGGCCTTGGTAGCTGTGATCCATTAGTCCTTTGGACTGATCTTTTCCTTGTATCCTGTTCACTTCATTCCCCCTTGCTTCCGAAGGGGTGAGACCAGCGGAGTATCTTAGATGGCTGCTCACAGGCTTTTAAGACCCTAGATGCTACTCACCAAGGTAGAATGTAGAACATTGTCTTTATAAACTGTTTTATACCAATTGAGCTAGATGTTCCCTGAGACCATGGTCCCCACAGCCCTCCGCCCAGCAATTCAGTCCCTGAGGGAGTTTGGATGCGTCTGTGGAGCCTCCATGACCTTTCCTTTTACAAGTTGTGCTGGCTTCCCCAGTATTGTGTACTTTCTCACCCTTCAGCAGAGATACCACTTATCTATTGCTTATTTAGTATTCCTCCCCCCCCCGCCATCCCTAGTAACCAACAAAGATTGTTACATTTTGTGTGTGAACTTTTTCATAGGTTTTTACAATAGAGGTCTCATACAATATTTGTCCTTTTGTGATTGACTTACTTCACTTAGCATAATGCCCTTCAGTTTCATCCATGTTATGAGATGCTTCACAGATTCATCATTGTTGTTTATCGTTACGTAGTACTCCATTGTGTGTATGTACCATAGTTTATCCATTTGTCTGTTAATGGGCATCTAGGTTGTTTCCATTGTTTTGCTTTTG